AAGCCATCGCAGCTGTGACTTCTCAATCTCGAGAAGCAAAGGCTGTATTCCAAGGCTCTTCCGGATGTCAATATTCTGGACCATGTCGAATCGCGTAAGGCCAGCGACTCGTCTAAGAAAGGAAGGACTGCACTGAATCGCAAATTCTACCGCTCTTATACGCTGCACCGCTCTACTTCTGTAGTCTTTGGATAAAACAACCGGCTCGCATCCAAAGCCTTTGAAATACAGCTAGGTGGCCGATTGTGTAACGGCGGCGTTAGCGAGTTTGGGTCTATCCTCCTAACAGAAGCTTCATCAACACAAGAGTTGCTCTGGGCAGTTCTGTTCTAACCGCCGAAACTCATCTGTTGTGCCCATGTTGCCAACAGTGCCTTTCGAAGCGACCAAACACAAGTGGTAGTCTACGCTTGGTAATGAGAATACCAAAAGTCAACTGTTCCGTTGTCTGTCTGATGTCTTACCGACCGCAAGAATGAAAAGCTGCCATTTTGGAGCAGACTCTGGTCAGTCCAACAAAGATCGACCTTCAGTGCCACTTTCATGGCTTAGTGCTTGCTCTTTGTCATATCTAAGGGTTTCGCAACTAATCGCGTGCGTCAGGGCTCATCTAATAAGTAAATTTCACTCTCTGACCGACATCAAAGTGCAGGATCGGGAGGATTTTGCACATATTCTGAATCTGAATGAAACTATGTAAATTATTTTAAAAAAGAAAAATTCTATTCAAATGAACTAATATTTTATAATCTAGTTCAAAACCAGAGTCCAGATCTCTTTGAAAACTTCTTTTGAGGACTATTACGAACACATTAAAAAATAACTTTATCAGTAGGCAATGATTTTAGTACCCTGAGCAACGATCTTGCTTCTGAAAGTGGAGAATCGTACATGGAGTAGTGCAAATTTTGCGTAGCTGACACTCCCACCTGGAAAGCTTGAATTGTTATCGACTGAAAAAGGCTTCAATATTGCTTGAGTTCCGATATGGTTGTTTGTGTACAGGAATTAAACGGGTTCACAAATCAGTATATACCACACCTGACAGCTCTCAGAGGGAGGCGATTCACAAGTGCCTCACCAGTTATAAGGATCCACCGATGGAGGTGATACGGAGTTGGTACCCTTCATTTCTTCTGCCACGTTTCGGAGAAATCACGCATTCATTAATTGCGATTTAAACATTTAAGTGATGACAGAATTTTTAAATATAACTTTTTAACGAACGACTGCCGAGTACCGTGCTTCAGCGATTATTGGAGGGAAATCGCTTCGGCGACAGGCTGACGAGCGGAAAATTACAAATTGCTAAATTACTGCACAGTTCGATTCGATTCGGAACAAGTCTGCGTAATATTGTTCCAGCTGTTGACAAACATCATCGGTACGTAATATAAGAACGGCAAGACATGCACTTACAAAGTTTATGAGCCTATGAAGATGGCTTGGCACAAGTAGTCGTTAGCCCAGGGAACATAGGCGCAATTTGCGATGCATAACAACGGCGAATGCCGACCGAATGAAGAGTCGACGAACATACCACTTCTTCTCAACCTAGTTATGAATTTGCCTTCTAGCGCATGATTCCCGAACGACACGTCGTCGTCGTCGTCGTCGCTCCGCCGTCGTCGATCGGTTCGCTGGTCCGTCCCCCCACACAGGAACTCGTCGCCGTCGTCGTCGTCATCGTCGAACCGGTGATGGCCGCGGCGCGCTCCACTGACACAGTGGTGCTACCGTCGACGACCGTCGCTCCTTGAACGACGACGACTGTACGTACGACGATCGTCAAGTGCTGTCTAAAAATTAACCGGTCATTCACATTATTTATCTAACATATGTTTGGAATTTGCAATCGGTCGGCATGCATCAAGCCGTCATCGGTTTCCGACAGGCTGTGGCCGGTGGGGTGAACTGCAACGGAGCAAGGCGCGAAACGGGCCACGCAACGGTTGTTCTTACACGGCACGAAATAATCCCCTCCGAGTCAATTAATCATTGTATTCCTTCGAAAGAGCTTCACTGATTTTCTAAATACTGTACGTGTAAGCAAAGTAATGAAGTAAAACACATATGACAATGTCACATCGATTATCATAGACATGAGTTGGCACATCGGAAGGTGTCAGCAGGCAAAAAACTCACCCATTGACAGATTTTACAGCGCATTGCATCACGCCTGGTCTCTGTTTGCTTAGGGAACCATATCGGTAGGTGATGGCACAATAATATTATAGCACCAATGGTGCGTAGACATCCTGAGCATCATTTGATTTGTT